CTGAGAAGAATCCCTTACTTCATGACCTGTGTCTGCTGCCCTGGAAGCAGCTGCTACATAATAGTGGGGGCGCAGTACAACAATTCATTCTCAAGAAGAAAGCTGGGGAGATCATCTCTAAATAGAGGACTGAATCAAGAACGGATTTTTCCAGACTGTCACTGCCAATAAAACGAGGTTTTCAATTACAATGCTTAGCACAGTGCAGCATAGGGAAAACCTATGTTCCAATGCTGCCAAGCGATATACGCTCAGTGTAGCATTTATCAAACCATTTCCTCTGCTAAGAGTTAATGTGTCAGTCTTTAAAATGTCTTGCTCTTCTACCACCTTTCCTGACGGAAATGTGAAAAGTGCAACTTACTTCCTTTCACAAAATGTCTTGTCGAGACTCTTGGCTCCAAATTGACTGCCTCGCGGGGAAAACCTGCTTTCTAGAAACTTAACAAACGGTGACTGTTCTATCATAATTCTGCCTCACTGGAATAAGGAGGTCAAACAGGGAGACAACAATCATTAAATAAAGTGTTAAAAGGTGATGGCTGAGTTCAGTATCAGCTTAAAAACGCTAGAAGTCTGAATGCTATTCTAAGCACTCAGGACCTAGCAAATTATTTTGTTTTAGCTGAGATTATACTATCAGGTGATAATGACTGCAATAGACTCTGCTGTGATAAAAGCAAAATCACTACCCTTTCTGTTACAAGACCAAACAAGCAAAGAGCAAGTTTCACATGAAGATTGATCAAGAGCACATGATTAATGTCAGAAACGTACCCAAAGAGCAGCTTTCTGGATTAACTTTGCTGTAAATGTCAACAACCAAACACACCCACTGGTACCAATCACACGTCTCAGCTTTACCTCATCTTAATCAAATCACTAATTATCTTGCCCTGATCCTTAAGAGCATCACAGGATTTCCATTCTTCATAGGAGTTTAATTCACCGTTTTCTTTCAAACATTCATGTCTGTCTGCACTTGTGTAAGTACATTGTAACCACTAAATCATACAATCCATCATCTCTTTGTCAGTGCCCTAGACAGAGAAGATCCTCTGAGAATATGCTTACAACATAAAGGTCACTTTGAAAGTTGACTAAAGGCATGAATAAAAAATAAAACATTTAGTTAAGCCCTTTGAAGAGATGAGGTTGCTATTACCCTTTACTGTTCGAGCAAGTTCTTCAACTGCTTTTCAACACTATCGTGACACCACACAGGGAGTTTTATGGCACCTTCTGAGTATACATAGAATCACAGCCAAAATTCAGCTTACTAACTTAACTTTGAGAAAGTTAGTACTGTAGTCAGACATTAAGAATCATTATACACTTGGCAAACCGACCTATTTCCAAAGGATGCTGTCACAGGATGATACGTACAGTGGGCGTATTTTAGCCAACAAAAGCTACTGAAGTGCCAAGAGCTGCTGAATTTCCTGTAAAGAATTAAGAGCCCCTCCACACACATTTTCTGCCACAATATATGGCCTATCTTTTTGTCAGCATGAGGCTTTCTTGAAAAATGAAGGTTGAAAAAAAATCATCTGGCATCATTTCTCATGAAGGGTGAGGAAATTAAAGGAAATGAAAGAAGCTACAAAGTAAGAAGAGCTGATCTGAGGGTCCTACTGGCTAACACGCTTCTGAAGTGCAATTCCAGTTTTATACTTGCTGCTTCAGTACCGTGTAAAACAGGAGTGTGAAAATGTAAAAGTATGTGAGACAAATGACATTTTATCTTTAGACATAATCATTCCTCACGGGTGCCATCCCTACTTACCAATTAATCACTAGAGCACGAATATCCTAAGACAAGGCTAAAAATGGAGTGTAATTTTTCACTAAATATGCTTGAAACAGCCAGTACATTTCACAATGGAAAGAAGAGGTTTGTGATCTATTTGGTAGTTGCTTCACAAGTGCAGCCTCACAGAATCTGAATGGAAATCTCCAATTGTAGCAGGCAGTTACGGCTTGTACCCGCCACCAGTAGAAACCTCAGTATTTCACAATGTGACTGCAAGTGAGTGCGCTACCAGGACTTAGTGAGTTACCACTTTCTGGCTAAAATAACAACTGAGTACATATGATGTTCTAGTCATCGCAAACACAAAATAAAATGTATTAGCATAAACCACTTAGGGAAACATAACTTGCTAAGCCCCTGAAACTTTGCACTTGTGATTGCATGTGCACACCTTCTCCGTCTTTGCTAGTATAGACAATGCTAGACTAGTAAGCAAAGTAAAATCAATATTTCCAATCAGCCAGCAAAAGCAATGGGCACAGGGAGACAATTACCATCTCTGGAGCTCAAAATCCATCTACCATATAGATGCATAGTTCCTGGTTTATGAAAGTACCTGAAAGTAAACTTACTGATCTGATTGCCAGCTGCTAACGAACGTGAGTTGTCTTCTCTTCTCAGTGTTGCAAGTGAGGTTATCTAAACACCATTCTATCCAATCATCCGTTTAACTGTTCTGCTTTGTCTCAGAGTAAAAGTTAAGCTCTCTGGGTCTATCAAATGTTGCAAGCTAATTTTTAAATTTTTCTTTTGGCTGAATGATCCAAAAAAACCCCAAGAGTTCAGTTTTGCTTAGTTAGATATCTACAGAGAAAATTACTACATTCACATCTCAACCTTGTGATTTGCTTAATGAGAAAAAAGACACAGTACCTGGACATAGGCTCTGAAAGAAAAAAGGAAGTTGAAGAAGGTGTATAGTTGTTAGCAGGAAAAGATCAAAATTTCAACACAAAAAGGAGTTTTCATTTCTTTTGTGTTCATAGCTTATTTGCTTTTGTGCACAATAAAGCTACTAGACCAGTTACCTAGATTATGCCATTGCTTATGAGTTTTAACACCTAAAATAAAATGCAAACAGAAAAATGTCTGTAGCAGGTGACAACCAAGTAATTCTCAGAACATATATCTAAAGGAAATTGGAAATAAAAAGGACAATCTTTTTTTACAGCAGGAAAATCGACACACTCTCTTTATAGCATGTGAAACAAGTACAATCAAGAATCAAACGAAGTTGCTACTAGGATTCTAAAAAAAATTATACAGATATTTTTAATTTATGGTTTAAATATAAAATGGTTATATGTTGAAAATAAAATTACTTCTAATTATTAAAATCTGCATGCATTTGGTTTTCATTACTAATCTTTGAAAAGAATGGCATTGTAACTGAACAAGCTTCTAAGATCAAAATAGAAGCCATGAATGAGCCATGGAAAGATTCTTTGATTTTATCCCCCCCGCCCCCTTAACAGGCAGTCTGATTTTGCTTACACTGTTAACTACACAGGCTTCAAACATTTACTATGGACAAAATCAAAATCAGCCAATTAGCCAACAAGACGCTGTTACACCTCAGCAAAGAACAAGACAGCAAACATAATATGGCTAATTTAAAACAAAGAGCAATAGTTGAGGCAAGTGATGAATTACAGAACCTGTTATAGAACCTTTTATGTCAATTTTGATTGCTCACGGAAAGTTGCCAGAACAGTTTAACATATCCACAGTTATAAAATATTTTTTTTAAATTATAGATACATAACAACAGCCCCCCAGCCCCCCAAACTGCATATGGGTGAAATTCTCAAAACTGCACTTCAGTCCTTGAAAACTTTACTGTCCTCATGATGCCCAGAGCTGTCCCTGTGAGAACTGCATGAGGGTCCCTAATGTACACTGCTCAAACAAAAATATAAAATTGGCAATAAAAAAAAATTACAAAACATTATCAAGAAACCTAGACGCAGCTACACAATGGACTGTGGGGAAGAGATGGCCTAAGGAGACAGACAGCTGTTTCCCTACACCATGTCTATAGTACGGAGTACTACAGGACGAAGGGTGTTGCAGCCTACTTAAATCTATGAATAAAACTATCTTGAGAATACATATTATAGCATAAATATCAGGACACTTCTGAGACAGGCAATTTTTGTAACTACTCTCCCATCTGTGATCCTTTTAACTTAAATTCTGCAAATGAAGAACAGCCTACAAAAGCCGCTTCTGGATCATTTAGTTTCAGATAGAAATTTACGTCTCAGATACTTAACTGGAATCTCAAAACCTTCATTTGTGAATACTCTCCTTTGGTAATTGAGTAGACAGCTACCGTATAAAAAAATTGTCGGAAACACTTCTAAATTATTAAAATATATTTTTTTATATAAAGGGGAAATGCAAAAACTAGTTTTCCAACCAAAGGTTACACTGTGAGTCGTACTACCTACTGCTTCTAGGAAGACAGCATCAAGGTTGTTGTCAGACACGTAAAAATAACTTCCCATCTAAAGTCTTACTGTGAACTGGTAACATGGACATTTCTACTGAAAAGAAATATTTCAATTCAGTTAATGATTAAAGACATTATTTCCTTAACAAATGCTTAGCATTTGTACATAGAATTTGGAATTAAAATGGAGAAGTCCCAGCATGAGGTTTATTTTTTTCCACTTACACTGCTGAAGAAAGCACTACTTCCTGTATTTAAATTACTACAGTTGTAGACTTTTGTAAACCAGTCCAGATCAAAACAAGTTTAAATTCTGGACATCTCTTTCAAAACATAACAACTTGCATCCAAAATCATTAACAAATATCTATTTCACTCTATAAAACCTTACTGTACATACTTAAAATCAGTACTTCTCAAAGGCTTGTAAAGCTTGCTCTTTTACATCTCTCATGTTACTTAATAGCTCTTAGAAATGAACAACAAATGCAGGACAATATCAAAGTCTTTGTGCTTTCCCACCCTGTCTAAATCACGTTTATTTACCTTCTTGTTAGCAAAATTCCTTAATATAAATGTGCAGGTTTGTATATGTGCCCTGAATACCAAGCTACTGCATGGATTATGAAAGAAGGGTGTAGGTGATAACACTTTGCCAAACACACAACAGGACAAAAAAAACCCCAAAAACCACACCACAGCTACAGTATGTAAGTGACATGTAATACTTACTATTTATATGTTTCTGAACGAATGTATTCAAACACATGAGATACTCCCAGCTGGAACTGGTCAGCAATAGGGGTAACCCAAGGATTGTTCTCTGCTTTGAAGACTTGCTTTTGACCAGTCAAATCCAAATTACCTGAAAGGGATTAAACAAAACAGCATATGAAAAAAAAATGAAATATGAAAAATTCGAAAGAAGTATCTTGCTGTGAATATAAAATTTTTCATTCATTTCAGAGAGTACAACCATAATAAAATAATTAGTGTTAAGCACAGCTTAATAGTGCATAGGTGTTGGGCCCTTTCCCCCATGGCTTGTAGGAATGAAAGGAGAATGATGCTGTGGTAGGAGTTTGCCCTGCCAAAGCCTAGCATTGAGAAGCACTTCTCAATTGCTGCTCCAAGCACAATGCCAACAAGTGATGGCCAACAGGCTTTTTGCCTTCCCAGTGCCCAACGTGTTGTTTGTACCAAGATCCTACCGCTGATCTGTGGTTCTAGTTCTCTATACCGAGAAAAACAAACAAAAACGTCATTCTTGCAACGCACCAGTTTTACCTATTTTGTTGACAGGAAGACTTAAGAGACCTATTAGGGGCTTGCTTGGGTTTTTTTTTTTGTTTGTTTGTTTGTTCCTTTTGTAAATGTTTACCACTAGAAACCAAAACAGTACATGCTTTGCTGAAACTCCTCATGACTATGGATACAACAGGCTGAATTTCAGGAAGGTGTAGCCATTAAAATATTTTTTCGTGTTCTTTAAATGAAAGTAAGAAATCTGTGCTACCATTTAAAATTTATTTTTGTGAATTCTACAATGAAGAGAGGGCTACCCTCCTCACAGTAATCTAAAGTAACAAAAAAAAAAATAAATCTTTAACCATGGGAAACAAACCCAAAATAAATTTACAAGGTTTTGCAGACTGACCCAGCCAAGCTGTCAGAGGAATCTGAAGGCAACCTGACGTGTTAGCTTTTCACAATTAACACAAAATTACGCTCATCTAAGTAGCATGAACACACACGCAGGCTACGGGAGCTGCTGCAAGCCCTGTGCTCGCCGGCCATTTCGGCACACATTCTGCATTACAGCTAATCCTCGACCCATTTCTCTCCGTAAAAAAAGGGTTAACGCAATTAGAGTAAAGACAGACCATTATACCGTGTGAAAGGATGTCATGCATGTCATATCAGCCTATCAACAAGTTACCATTACCTCAGCCAGCTCATCTGTCAGCTGTCTGAGGCCCTGTTCTGAAATAACAACAGGCAGGGCGCCTTCCACCCCTCTGTCAGTCAGGCAGCAATTGCCCTCGCTGCCTCACGCTTCAGCGCGCCTCGTTAGGAGCCTCGCGCCCATCTCCTTTATTAAGGGACTCGGCAGCCCTGTTCTAACAAGGATCAGGAAGCAGGATTAAGTACTGTGACAAAGAGGACCTAATAAGCTAGAAACCGGTGTGTCTAAATCTACGCTGGCTGACGGCGCAGGCTCACGCTGCTCGCTATTCGGTTTTCAGGCACGGGCCACCGGGGAAGCAAGCCGGCACCGCCATTAGCCGTAACCCTCTGACCGGTGCAGCTATGAAGATCATGTATCACCCAGGGGCTTGCTTTGCAATTGCAAATTGGATTTTCCATTTTATTACCTGCAAAAAACCCCACACACATTGCTCTCCAAAACTACCAACGCTGTATGCACTCAGTTGTACTTACAGCTCTGCATGTACTGCATCAAGGTAAAATGATCAATCTGTGTAAAACTAATAAATATATTTCCTGGGAGGCAAGCTTGGCCCCATTGTGAGTCATATTGCTTAGAGGATTAAGTCACACGTTCCCAAAATCTCTATCGCCAGGGTCTCAGCTGAATCCTCTCATCCCGAGCTGTGACAGAAATTTACCGCCCAGGGAACACTGCCATATGTTTCCATCCCTGCAGCATAGTGTGTCCACTGCCATTCCAAATACCACACGGCCCATTCAAACTAACTGCAACAAATAGTATTCTACTAAAGCCAAAGAAATCTTACTGCAAAAAGAGGAATGCTCAAGCAAAATGAACTGCAGGTTCCCATGCCAAAGTAATCGCTTCATTTTCCTCTGCCTTCTGTTTTCCCCCAAAACACACTGAGGGCAGGTACAGGTATTACTTCTTACCTTCAGAGGGAAGAGGCAGGCAGAGGCCCTAAGGGTAAAATTAATCTAACTACAGAGGAAATTGGGGCACCCAAAAGTCTGGCATCTGCACTGAAATCCACCCCCTCCCTGCCCAGGACACCCCTCAGGGATCCCTGGCAGCCTGTCCCACCAGGCACCTACAGCTGGAGAGAGAGGTCAGCTGTGACCTCACAGCCCAGGCTTTTAATTGAAGGATCCAACCAAGTGTTGTAGTGCGAAAAGGAACAACCCATCTATCCTCGCGGTAAGCAGCAAGGCAGAGAGCGAGTGCTCCTCCACAGAGGAGCACAGGAAGGCCCCCTCACAGACGGGGACACCCAATGCTTTAAATTCCTCCCGTCCCATACCACAATTTCCATCTGGAAATGAAGGACAGAAACGGGTAGAAAATTGAGCAGGGTAAGAAATCACGGAGAGCTTGTCCCACCTTATCAGCACTAGGGAGGAAACAGAGCCAACCGCTTGGGGACAAAGAAGCCGTATAACTAAAACTGAGAGGATGGAAACCTGTCACTCCTGCAATCACCGCACATTGCCTGGGGCCATACCCCGGTGTCCTTTTTGCAATTCCAGCTAAACCATCTCTGAATCGAGGGCTTACCTAATTCTGCTTTGGCTGTGGGACATCCCAAGCACGAGGGCAAGGTCTCAGTAACACGTCAGGAACAGTACGAACACATGGGAGCCCTGCATGAACCCTTCTGCCCCAGTGCACCGACGTACCCAGCAGCATGGAAGAGATCAACAAATCCGCCTGAAGCAATGGCTCTGGTACCAGCCTCACCGCAGGGGTGCTGTGCAACTGGACACCTTACAGATGTGTCCCTGTCCTAACCTCCCTCAAGAGTCTCCTTGCCTAGATGTTGTTTTTTTTTTTTATGGCAGCACTGTGCTAAGAAATCCTGTTATTCCATCCCTGCAGCACTAGAGCCATGGGCCAGGGAAAAAGTCATAGCAGATGCGCCTTCATGCATATTGTCTAACAGCAGCATCAGCAGAACACTATCCCCAGGCCTTTAGGAAATTTATATACTGTTCTGCTACGCAGATCACATCAAATCCCTCAGATATTTTTAGTAAGCAAAATATGAAATTGCCTCTAGTAAAAACCTAGTACTGAAGATTCAATCACAAAATATATTAGAACTGGAGACTGCATTGGTCATTGCTGGTCCATGCACATCAGTCTATTAAAAAACGTGTTTATCATCTCTAAAATTTGGTATAACTAGTAGACTCAAATTGTATTTCTCCGTAACGGACTTAAGGTTCTTGCTATTTTGCCATACTGAAAGAGACCAACTCCACTGAAATGCATTACAGTCCCATACCTCTGGTACCATAGGAGGAGAAGGCTAACCTTAAGACTAGTCAGCACAGCCCCTTTCCTAGATCACAGAAATGTTTTCAAATTATTTTGAGCACTTCTTATAAATAAATAAATAAATAATCAAAACTTCCTATATGCCAGAACCCAGGTCTAACATGCTTAAAGAACCTTCTAATTTCTAACCCTGAGGGATACTTTTTTTAAGGTTTCTATCTTGAAGAGACATAGATTTCCAAGTAGGAAGAATGCAAAGTGGAAATATGCTGCTACCAGTGGGCAAACACGGAAAAGAGAACAGAGTCTGGAAAAGAGAAGAGCAGAGGTAAAGGTCTAACAGCTGATTCCTGTGGATGACCTGCCCAGAATGACCAAAAGCCTTATAAAAGGACCCAGCTGCGTAGTCTTAGAAATACCTGATCTTGGCTTCTTTTTTTTTTTTTTCCTGTCTCAGCACTCATTGTATCTAAAGATGAACCATTGTATGGTTCTATAAAGATGATCGTGAACCATTAAGTTCGATTGGATCAGTGCAACTAAACTCCTGCGTTTAACCCACCTCGAAAACACGTTGTTCCTATGCCCAACTAGTAAGCTGTGCAGACCTGAAAACTGTCTGCTGCCTAAACCTTTTAATAGCTGCCACCTGGAAGCCACAGTAAATAGATCTACACCAAAACAAACCCTTGGAAATTCAAGGATAAAATCAAAGTATGCATATTTTTAATTTTAATGTATTCTAAATTATGCTAGCCATTGACTAAAAATACCATTTATCACGGCTTAAGTTTAGAGCTCCCACAGCCATGGGTGGACAGAAGGGACATCTCGTATGATAGTGGGCGCACCCCATCCTGAGTGAGGTTAAAGGGAAAAGGCAGCTACTGTTTCCCTGCACCTCCCTCAATAAATCTATCCTGCATTTGATCCAAAACATGATAGTTAATGTTTCTTGTTATTCTCCTTCAGCGCTGTTGAAATAAAAAGCGGTTTGTGTGAACATTCATATTTTGTTCAACTGCCTGCAAAGGTCAGAAAAGAGCTCATAAAAGCAAATAAAATGGTGCCTCCCGCAATCATGTTTGCAGAAAGTCAGTGCCAGAGCCAGTGATAATGCTACCTATCACTTTGACCAAGGTTGTCCCCAGACTTCCCAGGCTCCTCCTGTCCATTAGCTCTAGCCTGCAAGCACCTCTGATATGGAAAGATAACCCCTCATCCTCTTGTGATGTATGATATCAGGAGTGTATAGTATTTACCCAATGTATGTATACTTAACATACAGTAAGTTATGACTAGTGTATACAGGCATTACTTCAATATATATGAAAGAAAACAGAATGAACACAAACCTGACTCGTCCTTTCCACTCGAAAGCCCCTTGGCAACACTTTAAATACTTTCAAAAATTAAAAGGTGAAATAAAGTAATTAAACAACTCTGACATTTGAGAAGTGAACATTGGCATTCAGCATAAGAAACATGATCCGAGCTGTAAAATGCCAGATCAACGCTTCTTTGTAATGGTTTAAATTCATCCCTAGTGGAGCTTCATTAAAATCAATGGAAATAATTTTTAGCCTGTTGTCATGGTTTAACCCCAGACAGCAACTAAGCACCACTCTACCTCA